TCACCAATAGCAGAGCCAGGACTTGAACTCAGGTGTGTTGACACCAAATGGTGTGTTCCGGGAAACCACAGGCTTCACACACTGGTTCTGCTTTGGAAGGTTGGCAGATTCTGGCGGAATCTTGTTGGGATGGTCTCTGTTTGTGTTTAATAGTAATCACATTACTACTATATTCAGAATGCTGTGTGCCAGACACTCTGCCAATCGCTTTAGAAGCGTCCCTCCTGTGGGATGAGGGCGATTGTCCCCATCGTGCACGTGAGAAGACATGAGGAGGGACTGGATGTGGAGTGGTGGGCAGAGCTGAGGCTCAGACCTTCCGGTTCCCGAGCTCCTGCTGTCCCCAGACCTCCCAGTGACCTCCGTAGCTGTCTGCCTGCTTCGAGTAGCTGAATTCATTCTGAGGACCTCCTTTTGTCCCAAACTCAGGGTCCCCCCCTTTACTGTGGGCTCTGCCCAGGTCACAGTGGAATTTTTCATTGCCGCCCCACACAGGGGTTTGTCTCTCGCACACCCCACTTCCTCAACCCATTGCAGACAGATGCCCGCACTTTGCTTGTGCACCAGCTCTGGCTGAGGGAGGCCCCTTTAGTTTCTTCTCTCCTCTAATACACTCACACTCAAAGGTCCCCTTTCCGCTCTAAAATCCCACTTGGGAAGAGGGGGTGAGCTGAGAGGAGGTGGAGGGCAAAACAAGTCCCATGCCCTGTGCAGACCAAGTGGGCCGGGGCTGGTGAGCAGTGAGTGAGCAGGAGCCCTGTGTGTGGAAACCAGAGTCCTGGGTTCCAGCTCTGGCTCTGTGGATATCCGTGGGGTCCTGAGCAAGGCCCTCTTTCTGGGCCTCAGTTTCCCCTTCTCCAAAAAGAGGCAGTTGGATTAGATAGTTAATATGTTTTATTTTCTAAGTGGCCAGAAAGTGGCCAGATATTGGTGCTCTCCTACTAAGGGAAGCAGGCAGGAAGGAGGGGCGAGGGAGAGAAGCGAAGGGCTTGGGGAACCAGCAGCTTCTGGGCAGCACAGAGCTGAGGCCGTGGTGACGGCCCCATCTGGGGCTCAGGAGAGGGTCTGGAGGGGCCCACAGACATGTTTTCTGCATTGACAAGGTGTCACTCTTGTCCTGGCCGGGTGGCTCAGTTGGTTGGAGCAGCATCCCGCACACCAGAGGATGTGGGTTCGATCCCTGGTCAGGGCACATTCCTAGGTTGCAAGTTTGATACCCCAGTCGGTCGGGGTGTCTACAGCAAGCAACAGATCAGTGTTTCTCTTTCTCTCTCTCTAAAAATCAATAAACATATCCCCAGGTGAGGATTAAAAAAAGACTTAAAACTTAATGACAGGGGAAGTATTATAAACAAAATGAAGGAAAGGTATCACTCTTTAATTTTCCTGACTCTGGCCCATAGCTCCACTGTCAAAATACTGTCAAAATAACAAAGGTAAAAATTTAAAAGCCTTTATTTACTTTTATACTGAAATCATTCAATGTTCTTTTCCAATAGATTAGAAAATGCACATAAGCAAAAGAGCAATGGATCTAGACCAATAATCTTCAAACTTCTTTAAATTCGTCCCACTAGCAATCTGTTTTTGAACATGCATTCCCAATTTACTTATTTGCGTACATTATAAAACCCACTCAGGTGCAAATTAAAAAAGGTAACATAAAAGATAGTCTCCATGTCCGGAAGCCCAGTGGACTGCAGCCACTGGCCGTGAGTTCTGAGAAAGCCGAGGACAGTGTGACACAGGTCTCTTTTCCGGGCACTGGGCACCCAGAGGCTCCCCGCAGGAACGCTGCTGCACATGTTTCCTGGCCGGATGGAGGGGGAAGGAGGGGGGAGGGGAGGGCACTGGACCATGTGAGAAGAGGGCAGGCTGGCGCTGAGCCATGATGGGGAGGCAGCGATGACTCGGCCCAGCCAGGCAGTGGCTTCCTGAGACCTGGGACTCCTCCTGGGAGGCGAACCCCCACTTCACCTGCCCAGCCAGCCCTCCGGTGCTGGGCTCACTGTACTGCTGCAATGCCGAGGCAGCTGCCCGTATCTGAGACACCACAGGCTCACTGAGAGTCGAGATGCATGTCGTGATCGTGGCCTGTCTAGGCAGATGCCCAGAAAATTGGCTTGGCCTCGAAACTGGTACGCCCCACATCTCACAGTTAGTTTTTGTTTAGAAGGAAACCTTCATGTTAAATCATGGAGCACCTCTAGGCATTTAAATGGAAGTGTTAGAAAATCCAGCTTGCCCAGCAATTCAAGCCACTGCGACATCTGTCATGACGATTCTGGTTTGGGAGAGGGGCCCATCCCCTCCCTGGGACAACTGATGAGTGAGTAGCTCCACCCCGACTCAGAACTGCTGGATTCCAAAGCTCGCGTCTCCGGCTTTGGTGGCTGTGGGGCCGGGGCTGACGTCCACTAAGCCACGATGATAGAAGTGCAAAGCACTGCCCCTAAATCTCACATCCCTGCCGTGTGTGTGTGTCCGTGTATGTCTTAGCATGAAATAAACATGTAGACAAGTTTAAATCCCTGCCTGGCGCATAACAGTTTCCATAGATGTAGTTCCTTTGCCCTTATTTCGTGCCTTTGTCCCGGCTGCCGCCTTTCCCTCCGCACCCCTCGACCTGTTCACAACCTTCCTTGCCTCGCTCGAATCCCTGCCGTCGCCGGGGCAAACGCTCGTCCCTGGAATCCCTCCAGCACTTGCTGGCTGGACCATACAATTTAGGACTTCATTACAGACAGCCTGGCATTGTCCTCCGATTGTCTCACTGAGCTGGTGTTGCCCACCCCTCACCCCGTTAGTTTGCAAGCACCTCTGGCCCAAAGCACGCGGTGTGCTGGACTCAGGGAGGCTGGACTCAGTCTTCTGTCTGCCACAACCCGAACAAATTATTTAACCTCTCAGCTTCAGTTTTCAACTTCAACTCGGAGATAATGACACCACCTCACAGGGCTGTTGCCAGGGATAATGGGTGTGGAAGCATTGTCTAAGATGTAAATTACTGTACAAACGTAAAGGGCTGTTATTATCACCTCTGCTGAATCCAGCCGAGCCGGGCGCACCTCCCCTGCCTGCTGGAGGGGAGAAGATAAATGCCTGATTGATTGACTACAGAATGGCTTTGTGACAGCTCCTGTTACAGGCTCCAGAGAGCACGGGTTTGAGCCTAATCTTGCAATTACTCCCTTCATTGCCGATGCAAAATCCCCTGCGTTCCCCAGAGACTGGGGTGCCCTCCGCCTTGGCTGATACGCTGGAGCGGCTGCCCTGGGGAGAGCAGAACCGCATCCCCCAAATGACCCCAGGCTACACATAGTGCCCTCAACGGGCAGCACGTGGGACGGTGGAAGCTGCTTTTACTACGGAGGCGGCTGGGGACAGGTATTCCAGGGACCCTACCCTGCAGAAGACTCAGCGAGCAGAGCAAACCGGATCACTAATCCCTTTCTGTTAAAGGCACCGCAGCATCCGTGGAAGCATGTGGAATATCTCCCTGCCACACTTTGTAAATGTGGGAAAGGAGTGTGCGTGTGGCAGCCGCCCACAGGCAGTGAGAAAGAGCAGCGATTTCTTTGGGGAGGGGGGGTTGATAAGAAGCCAGGCGGTTACTTTTCCCCTCTATGTTGCAAACTCTGGCTTAGGCTTGCTGGCGAATGCCACGCAACGCTCATCTTTTGTTAGTCTCATGAACAATGTTCCTGGTTATAATTGGGGCAATTATGGACTGCTTGAGGAAGCGAAACACAGATGTTTAAGCCCAGGATCAGGGTATTCAAGTCCAAAGCAGCTTGCTTTAAATAGTCCATTCCCGAATCGTCCTGCCTTACTTGAAATTCCCCCAGAACTTGTCTACGTTCGGAGTGAGGTGGGGGAGGAGAGGGTGGGTAATGGAGGGAGGGGAAGCCAGATGCGCAGGCAGAGAGACGCACAAAGAGAGGAGAAAGAGAAGGAGGCAGAGAGAGAGCAAGAGAGTTTGGGTGACTTCTGCACGCTGTGTCCCACAGGACCCCAGTGGAGACCTCTGGGTGGGAGAGCTGGGCGGGAGGAGAACGACGAGGCACTCAAAATGACTCAGGGTCTGGGGGACCAAGGTCGTCCCTGCAGAAATCCATGTGGAATTCACACACCGCAACTGCAATCAGCCAAGTATGACTGGCCCGGTGCAACGCCCCAGGTCCGACTTTCCCCACCTCATCACTGACAATTGCTATTCAGAGCATGTGGGAGAAGGGTTCCTTTAGGACTGAAAACCCAAATCCAAATCAACCAGCCTGAATACACTAGGAGGGAAGGAAAGAAAGAGAACCAGTCAGCCACACAGAGAAATCACTCACAGGGGTTCCTGGGGGGCTTCCCGGGGCCGCCCTTCAGGGCCACGGGGTGCCCCAAGCCTGCCCTCCCGCAGCCTGGCGCCCACAGCCACCTTTTCTCATCAGACAGGAATGACAGACAAGTAGGGGCCACCTCTGGGAAATCAAAACTTTTCCTCGTCTCCAAGTTGGGCTCGCTCTTTCTTCTGTATCTGTCTTTAGGACAAAAAGCCTCAAGCTCCCCTCTACCCTCTGTCCGAGCATTGAAAATAAAACGATCGAAGAAATTATCTTTCCGGACAGCAGCATCCGCACCGGACAAAGGAGAGAGGCTGAGAAGGGAGCCCCTGCTGCCCTGCTTCCCCTCGGGCTCCCGGCACTTTGTCTCAGGCTGGGGTTCGCAGGCATCGCCTACCTGAGAGCTGTCAGCAGTCCGGCTCCCTTGGATGTGAGGCTGGGTTCCGCCGTCTCAACCGCACCAGCATATATATCCTCCCCCCGCACGCACAGCCCTCCCCTTCCCTGCCCACCTCGATGACACATACACACGCTGACCCCCTTGAGCAAGTGAACAGCAGGACCTACAATCCTTCCCGGCTGTTCCCCGCCCCCCTGGCTCTGTGCTCAGACCTGTGACACCCCAACCTCCCCATCGGTCCGTGCATTCTCTCGAGCCTGCTGTACCTGGACTCGGCTCAGCCAGGATCCCACAGCTGCCTTCCCCTTGCTTCCAGAGGCACTGCGAGGACTGACAGCCTTTTCTGGTAAGTCAGTCAGAAAAAAAAAAAAAGGCTCCCGGTGACAGTGACGAGTCAGACCCCAGTCCTCGGGTCTCCTTGAGCAGCTTTTCTGCCTGAGAAGTGAAGACGAGGGATTGGGCAGAAGGAGGGGAAGCTCATGCTGAAAGCTCCCACCAGCTGGGAGAAGCCCAGAGCGGAGCCCCCTCCTCCTGTCAGCGCCCTGCAGGCACCAGCAGTGATGCCACGGCAGGGAGTGGCTCTACCTGCCGTGGGCCAGGGCGGGAGGCGCTTCACAGGTGCCCGCAGCACAGCACAGCATGAACGCTGCGACTTTAGACTTAGACCAAAGTGTCTGAAATTCTGGCAAGTTACTTCTCTCTGCGAACTTCAGGCCCTCCTTCTGTAAAATGGGCGTGATGCCTTCTGGGATGCGTGTGAGTAGAAAAATGAGATTCTGTTCGGATTTGGAACACGTGGGACCTTTGATAAATGTGAGTTCTGCATCCTCTCCATCCTCTTCACATCGAATAATGCCAGCTGGATCTAAAAAGCCCCTCTCAACATGTAGTTGTGCTTTTAAAGCTGTGGCTGTGCTTTGGGGTGTCCCCCAGGAGCCTTAGGGTCTCGCAAGCTGCTGAGGGCGCTGTCACCACTCAGCGCAGTGTCTCCGTCCCTCCCCTGCACGAAGGTAGCTCCCAGGCAGCCCAGGCAGGGGGTGTTTAGATCCATCAGCATCCTTATGGAGCCCACCTTTTCTTGCCGCAAGCAAATCACATCCTGACATCCTCCTTAGCTTTTCCAGGAAGATCCCCAAATATTCCAGAATCCCAGTGTTTGAGCCTGTGTCGTCCGAGGAGCTCAGGCACCGTCTCCTGGGGCGAGCCAGGCTCTCCCATCACCTGGAGCCTGGGTGGAGAGGGGTGGAAGGAAGCATGTGTTCTGACGGGCATGGGGTTTCTTTGGGGCATGGCGGAAATGCTCTGGAACTAGATAGGGCTGATTGTTGCACAACATAGTGAATGTACTGAAAACCACTGAGTTGTCTGCTTTAAAGTGGTCAGTTTCATGTTATGTGAGTTGTGTCTCACTGAAAAGTAAAAGAGAAGGGAGGAAGCAAGCAAGTACCTACCTGCCCTAGGTAAAGAGCAGCAAATTCTAACAATTAAACTTCTCCCTCATTAATATTCATAGCAAAAGGGCCTGGGAAACCGGCATACTCACGATTTTCCACTTAGATCTCTATTGCCAGGAATCTTACACATCGTTACTACAGGTCAAAGTCACCACTGGGAAATCAGCATGACATGTGGTCGGTTTTGCATCTTGATATATTTACGTTGGGGGGTCCACTCCTGGAGCTTGACTGAACACATGCCATGGCAGATATCGCTGGTTGCCTACTCAATACCCATACCCCTGTTCTTCCTTACTAAATAGTACCCTTGATTTTATGCTAGGTGTCAATCTGTTCTGCTAAAAGGCTACATTTTGCAGACTTCCTTGCAGCTAAGTGTAGCCAATGAGAATCAAGCTGCTAATCATTGGGTGGAGCTTCCAGGAATGTTGGTTAAAGGGGAACAATTCAGCTAGAAGAGACCTCTTCTTGTCCTCTTTCCTTCCTTCCTGGAACATAGAGGTGATGGCTGGAGTTCTAGCAGCTATCTTGGATTATGAGACAACTTTGAGGATGAAAGCCATGGAGATGATGGAGCAAAAAGATAGGATTTTGGGTCTCGATGACTATGAAGCTGCTGTATCAATCATGGATTTCCAACCTCCAAAAAAGAGAAAACACAAATATTTATTTCAAACATAAGTCAGGGTTTAGTTAGCTGTTGCTGCATAACAAGCCACACCAAAGTCAGGTTTAAACAACAAACCATTTTTGGGGGGTTGGCGAGACTGCAAATTGGCAGTTTAGGCAGGGGTCTGCCAGGTGGTGCTTCGGCAGCCAGCTTCAGGTTGGCTTCAAGAGGATGACGGGCTGTTAGAGGCACCTTAGTGTGTCTTATCCTCCAAGTGTCTCTCATACCCTTTCTGCAGGATGTCTGGCTTGATATCATAGGAAGGCTGAGGCGCAAGCACAAGCAAGTACTGTCCAGCAAAGAAATAAGGAGAAGCGTGTAGAATCCTTCAGACTTAAGCTTAGAGTTGGGGCTCCATTGCTTTTGCTGCATTTATTAGCTAAAGCAACCTAAGGCCAGTCTAGAGCCAGGTTGGGTGGACACTACAAAGTCACAGGACAGAGCAGGTGGCTAGACAGAGGCTGCTCACCGGAGCTGTGGAGTGATGACTTTCATCTACTGTATTCTCTTACATGCAGTACGAAATCACTTGACATGACATGCCTTCCATTGAGCACCGTGTCATTCATTTCCAGGTACCCAAGGGCTTTTCTTTCCTTGCAGCTGAGGGACAGAAAAAGCAAGAGTGAAAACCACATACTTTCTCTGAACTTTTCTTCCTCACTTAGCGAATCAAAGAGTTGACCCCAATGACCTGGAAGTTCTCTTTGGGTGGAATAGGCTGCGTACTGTGGTAGGCTGTCTCCTATCACACCGAGGGGAAGGGGGGAGGGAATCAAGAAAAGGAGCGCACAACCCTGTCGCATGGGGGCATGAGAACCTCGCCTCTGGGAAAAGCAAGGGAGGGCCAGGAAAGGTACCAATTGCGTGGTGCTCACAGCCACGTAAAGGCTTTTCCCTCAGGGCTTTGCTGCTGACTCATGGATCTTGAGGTCCACGGGCCTCCCTCGGGTGTGGAAACTGGTCACCAAGCAGCAAGCCGGCCCCCCCCCCCGCCCGTTCTGACTGACAGTGTGCGTTTGTTAAAGTCGTTGCAGAGAAAAAGTCACACAGCCTCATTTCTGGGGAGTACGAGGCAGTGGACATTCACTTCTGTCCACGCCAGCTTGCCATCCTCTGGCACAGAGAGGCCCAAGCCAGAGTGGCTGCAAGAATTGCACTCCGTTCAGTTCTGACAGGTGCATTTTAGGAGCTCTTTAAAGGACCACCGGAACACGCCAGCAGCGAGAGCACAGCGGGAAGAAGGCAGCCATAGCTGGGCTCCCACGCAGGGCTCCTGGAGCCTCCATCCACCCCGCAACCTCCCCCTCTCAAAGGAGAGAGCCTCTCACCACCAGGTGTTTGGCTGTTTGGAATTCACTGATTAATTGCAGCACCTACAGCCGGTTGGTCTCCTTAGTAACCACACTAGCAGGGTCCCAGCTGGAAAAGCTGCTTCTTATTTTCAAAGAGGTCAAACCCTCTTCACATTTTAAAACACCTTAAATTATAACACAGATGGATTTTTCAAGCAGAGAGACACCCAAGGTTCTCCATGACTTTGCTTCTAAAATCTGAATGGGCTTTTGGGCTACTGAGGAAAAGTTGAATTTATTAATCAGTAAGAGCTAGGTTTTCAATGAAAATTTGGGCAAATCCAATTTCAAGGCAAAGAGCCTTGTGGGTGCAGGTGTTACCACCTGGAGTTTCCAGCCAAGTGTTGTGCTAGGTGATGTGAGGGAGCTGGGCCCGGCTGGTGTGGCTCAGTGGATCGAGTGCTGGCCTGAGAAGTGAAAGGTCGCGAGTTCAATTCCCAGTCAGGGCACATGCCTGGGTTGCGGGCCAGGTCCCTGGGGTGTGCAAGAGGCAACTGATTGATGTTTCTCCCCCTCTCAAAAAAATAAATAAATAAAATCTTGAAGGGGGAGAAAAAAAAGGGAGGTAGATTCAAGTGCCCTTGCCCTCAAGAAGGAGCCCGCGGAGAAGACACACACTAAGGAGTGAGGGGGAGGACAGCACGGGCTCCAGCGGCCCAGATGGGGAAGTAGAAAGCACACAATAAGGTGCTAATTGAAGATCGGGCTGGCAGTGAAAGAGGAGTTTGAATCAGAGGAAGAGATGATGTTTACCTTACGTTTGGAACAAAACATCAAGGTGCTGAGGGTCAGTTGCAGATTTTGAGAGGGGAGAGATGGGACCGTCCCAAGGCGGCAGGTGTGAGGGTTAGGGGTGCACTCCTGGGCTGGGGACTGCCGAGCAGAGAGCTGCAGACTGCGGGCGTCCACAGCGGACGTTGATCGTCTCACTGGTCTGGAGTCAAGAAGTCTGAGAGCAAGGTGTCGGCAGGACTGGGGTCTCTCGAGGCCTCTCTCCTTGGCTTGCAGAGGGCCGTCTTCTTCTCCCCGTGTCCTCACGTGGTCTTCCCCTTGCCAGGGTCTGCGTCCCAATCGTCCCAATCTTCTCTTCATATGAGGGCACCGGTTGTGCTGGGTTAAGGTCCACCCCAGTGACCTTATCTAACCTAAGCCACTTGTGTAAAGACCCTGTCTCCAAATGCAGTCACATTCTGAGGTCCTGGGGTCAGGACTTTAAAATTTAAACATATGATACTGTGCCCTCCAGATAATGTGGCTAAAACTAGTTCCTAGGAGTTTAGGAACTAAAGGTAACTATGGGACACTGGGCTACTAATGTGCACGGTGGGTCCCTTCGCCCTCTGGCTGCAGACCCAGGCATTGGTTTCTGCAGACACTCAGCTGACCATGGATGTCCTGCGTGGCCACAGCGCAGTGTCCTAGCGACACCCATGCAGTTCTCACAGCTGTGTCCTAGAGTCCTGTCATCCCTGGGAGGTACATCCTGGAGCTTGGAGTGTGAAGCCCTCAGACACTTAAGAAATGCCTTGCTCAGAGTGAGAGGGCATCCAGCCACCGCAGACACTTTAGAGGCTGGTGCTGTGAAAAGGTGTGCAGGGTGGCGCCGACTTTCTCTGTGGGGCCAGTGTCTGGATGCCCGGGGTTGGTGCTGATATCCTCATGTCTCACAGCCGATCACAAATCGATGAGTGTTCCACCTGCAGGTGCCAGTCTGATGTAGCTTGTCCCTCTGATAGATTACGCACAAGCTCATTGCCTTTCACAACCCCACACTCGATGAGGGGGTGTTTCTAGGTCTTTCTCCAGCCCCAGTCTCCTCTTGGACTTCCGGCGCCATAGTC